TGCCCAGGCCTTACGCCTGGGCCAGAGGCATCAGGCCTGGGCTGGGAGCAGAACCAGTGATGGGGGGAAATGAGAGTCCCCTGCCCAGGCCTGCGATTGGAGGGTGATGGGGGTCAATGCCTGAGGGCTCCCAGTATTTGAGAGGGGGCAGGCTGGGCTGAGGGACACTTCCCCCACACACACCCAGTGCACGAATTTCGTGCACCGGGCCCCTAGTATATAATAATTAGACAATAAAGACTTTAAAAAAAAAAAAGACTCTGTTCCCCTCAAACACTAACTCCCCATTCTCACCCTCATCCTTGCCCACTGCCCCAGGAAACCATTCTAACTTTCTGTCTCTACAAATTTAATTACTCTATATATGTCATATAAGTGTAATCATACAGTATTTGTCCCTTTGTGACTGGCTTATTTCACTTAGCATAATGACCTCAAGCTTCATCTGTGATGTAGCATGTGTAGAATTTCCTTCTTTTTTAGGTTAAATAATATTCCAGTCTATGTTTATGTCACAATTTTTTTATCTGTTCATGCGTGGAACATTTGGGTTGCTTCCAGCTCTTGGCTATTGTGAATTGTGCTGCTATGAACATTGTCATAGCATTTTTTAAATCACAACAGCTCTTTGTCATGCAATCTCTCAACCAATATCCCTAAAAGTCACTGCCTATCCTGTGGGGAGAGTAAAGTGTGCAACCTGGGAGAAGGCAGCTTGGGGGAGGGCAGCCTGGGGAAGGGCAGCCTGGAGGAGGGCAGCATGGAGGAGGGCAGCCTGGAGGAGGCTCTGGGAGCTGTTTCTGAGAACAAAGACTTACCTGCTTTTGGACAGGGGAGGGAGCACTGGATGCAGACACAGAGCAAAGATTTCTCTCATTCCAAAATAACTTTTAACCTCTACACTGCTTAATAGTGGAACAATCTACCTTCATAAAATAAGTATTTCAGTGAAAATACACAGACAGGAGCTAGTTGATTATAGAAAATTTTCCAGAGTTGTGAGGGGAGTTGAAGGAGAGCTATCCCTGGGCTCTAAGACTGTTTTTACCCCAACAACGTCTCTCTATTCTATATGATTTATTGTAATGCACACCCCATGGCATCCAGCCCCTTTTCCAGTCCTGGGGCCTGGTTTCCTGAGAGCCTGAAGGAAGGTTCACCACATCAATGGTCCTGAAGCTTCATCAATTTCTCACATATTCCCCATAAAATTGGTGAAGGAAATATTTGGCAAAGGTCTTCAGAAAAGCCATATCGTCACGGTCAAAGCTGGACAAGTAGATATAGGAGCTGCAGGTTGATCTGTGAGTCTTGGTGGCAGTTCTGATGCACCTGCAAGGAGGTCACGGTCCTTACACCCGGGCGCTTGTGGCATCCAAGGGTGCTGTGAGGAGGTGGTGAGGCTGGATTGTGGTGGCTGTCTGGGATGGGTTGAGCTCCAGTTGGTCCAAGCACTGTTGAAGCAGGAAACGTCACGACTTCACGAAGACTGTCTTTGTCTTTCTAATGCTTGAAGTATCAGTAGAAATGGCAAAAATTACCAAAGCTATAATTTCCAAAGTAAATCAGTGTAAACTTCGTTTGATATTTGTGTCATCTCCTCCAGAAGAAGTTGGAATCTGATGAGCTGTTGAAAGCTCTTAGAGAACCACATGCCTCAGAAGGGAAATACTCTCTGAGATAACAGTGACAGGAGCCACAGCAGGTCTCCAGGTACACTGGGGCCTGATCTCATCTGTATATTACACTAGGAAAATACCCTGGTAAATCCAGATCAAATTAGCAAATAGTAGACTCTTATCCCAATTTGTGCTATTTATTAAATTTCTGTTTTCAGTTTTTCTCATTTCTCTTTTCCTTTTTCATCAAAACTTATGAAAACAATGTCTGAAGGTGGTGTGGTGACTTAGACAAAGCTTACATTTTGGGGTTGGAAAATAAGCTGGTGCAACCTCCCTTGGAAGGCAATTCAGACAGTTATCAAAATGTGAAGTGCACCTACCCTTTGATCAGCAACTCTGTAAGGAGATGCATTCTCACACCAATAAGGAACATGTACAGCAAGTCATTGCAGCAAAAGATCAAAAACGCCCTAACCGTGCTGGCCAGTTGCTCAGTGGTTAGACCGTTAGCCCACGGACTGAGGGTCTCTGGTTTGGTTCCAGTCAAAGGCACGCAGGCTGGATCCCCAGCCCCAGTCAGGCATGTGTGAGAGGCAACCAATCTATATGTCTCTCTCACATTGATGTTCCTTTCTCTCTCTGTCTTTCGCCCTCCTTTCCACACTTTCCAAAAATCAATGGGAAAAATATCCTCCGGTGAGTATTAACACACACAAAAAGTCCATCAGAAGGTACTATTTACCAGCGTATGGCCCATCCAAAGAATGCTCAGTGTGGAAGCAGGGCTGAAAAGCCCTGCCACTGCTGGGGGAATGAGAGAGATCTTTATGTACAGACTTACAAAACATACACTGTTGCATGACAAAAGCAAGGTGTGAATATTTGAGCTAAAAAAAAAAAAAAAGGTACCTATAGGTAGAAATACAGCATACACTGTGTTAGGCATCTTCTAAGGTGGCTCCCAATGATCTCAGCCCTGGTAACCATGCCCTATGTAATCCCTCCTTGAGTGTGTGCTCAATCTAGTGATGTGCCTTCTCATTAAAAAATTGCAGCAAAGCCCTAACCAGTTTGGCTCAGTGGCTAGAGCGTCGGCCTGCGGACTGAAGGGTCCCAGGTTCGATTCTGGTCAAGGGCTTGTACCTTGGTTGCAGGCACATCCCCTAGGATGTGCAGAAGGCAGCTGATCGGTGTTTCTCTCTCATTGATGTTTCTAACTCTCTATTCCTCTCCCTTCCTCTCTGTAAAAAATCAATAAAAAATATATTTAAAAAAATTGCAGCAAAGGTGAGATGTCACTTCTGAGATTTGGTTATAAAAAACATTGGCTTCTTTTCTTCTCTTACTTTTCTAGCTCTTCTCGCCTGTTTATTCTGATGACATCAGTTACCATGCTGTAAAGTGCCCAGTGGAGAGGCCCATGTGGCAAGAAACTGAAGGAGGCCTCAGGCCAAAAGCCAGTTAAAGAAATGAGGCCCTCAGCCCAACAGCCTGTGAGAAACTAAATCTTCCAATACCCCTTAAGTGCACCTGAAAGCAGATCCTCCTAAGTGGAGTTGTGAGGTGACTGCAGCCCCAGCCAACAACTGACCATGACCTATGAGAGATCCTGAGCCAGAGGGCTCAGTTAAGCCGCTGGATTTCTGACCACAGAAAATGTGTGACAATAAATATTTGTTGTTTTGCCCTAAACAGTTTGGCTCAGTGGATAGAGTGTTGGCCTGTGGATTGAAAGGTCCCAGGTTCGATTCCCGTCAAGGGCATGTACCTTGGTTGTGGGCACATCCCCAGCAGGGGGTGTGCAGGAGGCAGCTGATCGATGTTTCTCTCTCATCGATGTTTCTAACTCTCTCTCCCTCTCCTTTCCTCTCTGTAAAAAAATCAATAAAATATATTTAAATAAATAAATAAATATTTGTTGTTTTAAACCACTAAGTTTTGGGGCAATTTGTTGCACAGCAGTAGGTAACTAATATAAGATTTATGTTTGTTTATGCAATATGAAACTGACCACTGTGCTTGCCACTGGGGAAGGAAATTTAAAATTCTGGGGATCAGAGGTGGGAGGAAACTTACTTTTTACTGTATACCCTTTAGTTTTTTTGAATATAATGTTTATTCAACAAACTACATTTTTAAATCCTCTCCAATAAACAATAATTTCAAAGGCCTATTTCTAACATGGACATATTAATTTTTTTCTATATCTACATACATTGGTTAATTACTCACAAAGAAGTTTTTGCAAACTTTCTTTAACTTGGGTACATATCACATCACTTCACATAAAAAAAGAGACTCTCTTTTCTTTCGCCTTTTTGGGAAAGCAAGAAAAATGCCTTCTTTACAGCCTCATCATCTGCCTCTCCTGGCCTTACAACCCTGTGCTGCAGCCACATCAATGTTCCAGTCCCCCACTGGAGCCTGTTTCCCAGCTCTGTCCCTTAACTCAAACATCCTCTCAACTTGAATGCTTTTCCTCCCAGGTGCCTTCCCTAATTCTTGTGCAAAATACAAGACCCAACTCCAGGTTCTTCCTCTGACACAGCCCACTCTTACCCGAACCCCCTCTCATTCCTGCCCCACAAATCCACCAATTCTGTTCCTGGATATGCATCCCACGTAAATTGGTCTCTCACTCCTTTGGACTATGCCTGTACTTTATACTTAGTTCCATATAGGTCTTCACTCACTGTATTGTCATTTTTCTGTTTAGACAATAAGCTCCTTAGACAGATTTGCCAATTGGATAGAAGAAAGATCTCTAGCATAGTGTCATTTGCACAAGGGAACTTGATACACAACAAAGGTGTCATCACAAATCAATGGAGAAAAGGGCAAATTGTGCAATAGATGATACACTGACTCACTGTGAAGAAAAAGAAAACCTGACCCCTATCTAACACCATGTGCCAAAGCAAGGTCATGAGATCATGACCACTTGGTGGAAAATGCCCTTTTGAAAATGCACTTTCCAAACTATCAGAATGAATAAAAGGTCTAATGGTCTAAGAACTCTAAGGAAGACAGAAGAAATTGTAATAAGGTGTCTTTGTGACCTTAGGAGTTGGAAAGCGTTTCTTAAATAAAACTTTACAAACACGCCCTGGCTGGTTTGGCTCAGTGGATAGAGCATTGGCCTACGGACTGAAAGGTCCCAGGTTCGATTCTGATCAAGGGCATGTACCTTGGTTGCGGGCACATCCCCAATAGGGGGTGTGCAGGAGGCAGCTGATCGATGTTTCTCTCTCATTGATGTTTCTACCCATCTCCCTTCCTCTCTGTAAAAAAAAAAAAAATCAATAAAATATATTTTTTTAAAAAACACTTTACAAACACAAACCATAAGGCAAAAAATTGATACATTCGATTACATAAAAAATTCAGGAGTTTTATTCAACAAAGGCCATCATGGGCAAAGACCATAGATTAGAGAGTAGTAGAAGATATTGTAGTACCTAAAATGGAAAGGTATTAACATCTAGAATATATCAAGAAAAAGGCAGCAACTTTAAGAAGAGGAAGCCCAAAGTCCACCAAGTATATAAAAAGATACTCAATTTTGTTTATAATCTTAAAGAAATCCAATTTAAGATATCATTTGCTAGTATGCCTATATACCTACCTGTAAGATGGGTAAAAATTAGAAAGCTTGATACTGCCAAGTGTTGGTGGGAAAGTGAGCTATATCATGCCCTCCTGATGGGGAGTTGTCACACCTACTGCTGCGTAACAGAACACCCAAAACTTAGTAGTTCATACAACAACCATTTCATTTAGCTCACAATTCTGTGTCTTCAAAATTTGGACTGGGCTCTGCCGGGCAGTCCAGTCTTCTGATCTCTTGAGTCATCCCACTCTGACCTGAACTTCCAGTCCTTTTGGGAAAAAAATGCCCTCAGAAGATAATCTCCCAACTCTCCAGAGGCTTCCAGATCTCCTGGTTTACCATTACCAGGCCAAGGGACACCTTGCAAAGGGAGGACCTTGGTCATCATACTCTGTGACAGTTTTCGAAAATTTTGTATGAATTTAGATCATTTACTGAAATCAGTCATTTCTTTCATTAACCAATCCCAATGGCTATTTACTTTATGATGCATCCTTTCTTTCTTTTATAAGCACATTAAAGTCAGTTTGGTTTTCCGCTTCCAATTTAATTAAGTTATCCACACAACTAAATCTAGACTTTGCAGAGTCAAATTTAATCTTTGTATTTGGCTTCAGAAAGGTGGGTGGTAAAGCAAATTAAGTACATTTTTTATCATTTTCTCCTTTAGTTACTATTTGTTTCTGATTTAAGGAACGTACCTATTGTTATGGGCAGAATGTTTGTGTCCCCACAAAATTTCTACTTTGAAATGCTAACCCTCAATGCATAGTATTAGGATGTGGGGCCTTGCGGGCAGAGCCCTTCTGAATGTGATTAGTGCCCTTATAAAAGAGACCCAGAAATCTCCCTCATCCCTTCCACCATGCAGGACACAGCAGGGAGGCAGCCATTGATGAACTAGAAAGTGGATCTTCACCATCCCCCAAATCTGCTAGACTTGGTCTTGGAGTTCCAGACCTGTGAGAAAAAATGTTTGTTGTTTAAGCCACCCAGCCCACAGTGTTTTTGTTATAGCAGCCTTAATGGACTACGGTGTCTGCCCTGTTTAAACAGAGTTTTCACTCAGATTTTAAAAACACAAAAGTCTTTGATTTTTGAGAAAATGAGGGACTAGTTGAGAAGAATAGCTTGAGAGTTTTCTTTTATAAACAGAAGGTGTTTTGTTTCCCCCCCAATTCTGTATAATTTAAATGTATATTTCAAAAGAATGTCAAATAATAGAACTTTGATTTTTCCATGTTTTTAAAAAACTTTCATTAACTTAATGGTTTAAGAATGATAAAAGGGACAAAATAGAGGGAAAAATAAAAATCCTTAAAACTTAAATTTTAGTAAATCCAGATACTGTACTTGGCAATCAAATAAATACAAAAAAAATTTCTCTTCAATAAATAAGTGGAAATACTATAATTCTGAGAGTTGCAGGACCAGGGAAGGTATATAATTTGGAGTGTTGGCAAAAGAAGCGCTATAGAGTTGTGATAAGAAGAAACACCCTACTTAAATAGAAGACATTAAATACTTTATTTAGTTTTATTGGATTAACAATATATGTAAATCATTTAATTTGAAAGGTACAAAATAGTGCACAATGAAAGGTAAAGGCTCCTTCCTCCCATAATATACTTCTCCTCCTTGGAAGCCACCACTACTACTGATTCCTTATATACCCTTCATTAAAATCTATACATTTATAAATATATAAGCACGCAAATTCATTGAGTGTTCCTCCCACAGAAATGGCAGTGTGCTGCATACACTGATCTCACTTTGTTTGTTTCTTTCTTTTTTTAATATATTTTTTTATTGATTTTAGAGAGGAAAAGGGAGAGATGGAAACATCAATGATGAGAGAGAATCATTGATTGGCTGCCTCCTGCACATCCCCTACCGGGGATTGAGCCCACAACTCAGGCATGTGCCCTTGGCCGGAATCAAACCCGGGACCCTTCAGGCTGACACTCTATCCACTGAGCCAAACCAGCTAGAGCACTTTGTTTCTTTTTTAAAGAACTTAATGATATATCTTAGAGAAGTCTCTCTGTACATATAGATCTGCCTTATTATTTTAGTGGCTGCCTGCTGTGAAGGTATGTTATTATTTTATAATTATACAAGCATCTGGAATGGAAGGGCAGGTCCCAGCTGACCTCTGGGTCCTGGGCAGCACCTGGGTCCCCAGGCCCCCATGCGCCTCCCTCCACCTGAGTCACGGCGCCCGAATTCCCAGGCAGAGATGCAGTAAGCGCGGTCAGACCCCCCGGACCCCATGGGCTGGGGCACCGCACGGAAGCCAGGTGGGCAGCACGCTTTCTCCCAGCCAGCCGGCCTCACAGACCGGCTCCTGTACAAACCCAGGAGGAACCTAACCTGCCCCTGTGGTCCTGGCAGCTGTGGCCCGGCTCACCCAGAAGACACCACATGGGTATGGGGCAGGCTCCTCGAGGGCACCTGGCACCTGAGCGCGGGGGCTTCCCTGGTGCGTGAGCCCTGGTGTCCCAGGGGTGGGTAACAGGGGGAGTGAGAGCGAGCTCGGCAGACACCCTGCATTCTCAATGCACCTCTGTTCCTGTCACCCCCAACCCCAGGTAGCTGGCAAGAAGTCACAGCATGTCGCTGACACCCGCCATGTTTTGCACCACCCCCTGGTGGTCAGTGCAGGTGATAGCAAGCAATCGAACTCCCGGTCCAGGGGATAATTTGCATATTAGGCTTTTATTATATAGGATTGAAATTATACCCAGCATTTATTTCATCACTCTCTATTAATGGACATTTAAGTTATATTCAATATTTTTCTTTTATAAACTCTACTAGGGGCCCATTGCATGAATTTGTGCACCTTGAAAGGAACTATGGGCTGCGAGGCTACAGTGGGCACAGGGTGGGTTTTGGCCCATCCTCTGTGCCCCTGCCTACCCCCTCCCACCATGGCCCCCGGTCCCCTGTCTGTTGGCTGCCCTGCTCCTGCTGCTGCTGCTCCCATGCACTGCTTGCACCCACTGACGGCGCAGAGCGGTTGGGATCAGTGCTGTCAGCTGATGTGAGTGGCAGCTGCTGCCCTGATTTCCTCTCAGGC